GCTCTTAAGTACCTAAGTCACTTTTGAACATATGATTAGGCTCCTAAGTCACTTACATGTTTTAGAAAATTTTATCATTAGTCACTTACTCCAGTTGACTCACTTGCCATTGAACTTTGCAGGATGTGCACTTCCTAAATAGTGATCCTAGCTCAAATATTTAGATCTGTTAAAAAAAATGGGAAAAATAATGCAAAAGTAATTTTATGAGGCTTGGGGGAGAGAAGAGTCAAACCTGGAACTTTAACTTTCTACATTTTAAATTTGCATGGGTTTATTCACAATGGCAATCACCCTCCTCTTTCCCCACAGACAATTACATACATTACAGTAACAAGTTGATGGTCCTCATCAGTAAAGATAGGTCTGAACCAAAATCTGGATTTGGGTTTTGCAGCATTTACCCTTCTCTGCTTGTCAGTTGTATACTCAATATATTCTCCATCCTGATGATTCATTTAAGTATCTGGATGTGACAGAGACAGGAAAAAGGAGCTTTCACATTCCACATATGTGCTGCTTCTCAGAGGGGCAGGAGGCTGCTGAGCTCCCTGGATTAAGCAAGGGATGTAGTTTCTTTTAAGAAGGGTCAGGGAGGACATGGAATTCAGAAATAATGGAATAACCTTGAAAGGGCTAGCCCCGCCTTAACCAAGAGTCAATGACTCTTACTGCACCCTGCAAGTAACAGGGTCCAAACTGGCTATTTGCCTATGGAATTTAAGTAACAGAACTGCCCATGTATAATAGAGGGCAGTAACATTAGTTTACTACTACATATAATGTGTTCACAATTTGACTGCAGAATATGGGTTTATTTTTTTATTTTGCACATCTCAGTCATCAAACCTTTATGTTCATTTACGGTGTCTAATGCCAAAACTAACTGAAAGGCAGGATTTGGGATTTTCAGTGTAACAAACACCAATGCTGTGTGGTTACCTGAAGCTTTAAAGGACTCTTGCCAGAGTAAAATTAAAGAATTACTCGAGTGTATTTATGTTAATTTCACTAAATCCAACCCTCCAGAGTAACTATTAAAAGGGTCAGGATATATACAGAGTTCCCATTAATATTAACAGTAGTATGGCTAATCCAAACAATTTAGTTCAAAATCTTCAAAAACTGAAAGTGGAACCGGTTAAGAAGCGTGTGTATTGTTCAGGATAGAACTGTACTCTAGACAGACCCTTATAGTCAGCTTGTAGGTGGGGCAGGAGAGTGACTCATGCTGTCCAACAACCATCCTTCTCAGCAATTAAGGAGCAATGCTGATGGCTTTCTCTTTGGAATCTAATTACGCTTCCACATTTGGGAAGATGGTGGCCATTATGAAGGCTCCAGTAGATGGAGATGTTAAAGGGACACTGGGTGAAATTATATCTTTAAAAAGCAAGCGTCCTTACCTGTGTTAGAGATTTGACATCGGAGTCCCATTAAAATGAGGAAAAAATCCTTACACCTCTTCTTTGTGAGGCCATGTTGGGTTGCCCACCTTACTATCTATTGAGAACAATCAGTCAGTGTTTGAATACACCAAATATGGGCATGATATCATTAAGTTATTGCTACTGACATTTTCTTCTCTTGATAGAGAAGAGTCAGCTGGACAAAGTGTGATTCTGGCCTGTTCAGCTCTGAAGAAAATGTATAGACGCATATTAGTAAGTGGAGGGGATGCTGTGTATTCTAAAAGTGATCAGCTAGACTCTGCCACAGGGAAGGTCCTTTTTATCCATTTGGATGGATCTATGGAACTCATTGCCAGCCGCCTGGAGAAGAGGAGAGGACACTTTATGGCACCCGAACTACTACAGTCTCAGTTTGATACACTGGAGCCTCCCTCAGCACCAGAAAACTTTATCACTGTGAGTCTGGAAAAGTCTGTTTCTGAAATAGTGTCTGAAATTGAGAAATCTCTTCACTTAGAGAAATGCTTTTCCAGAGCAGTTTCTGAATTAGATGCACATTAATTCTTTTAACCATGTCATATTTGTGGAACAGCATTTTAGTTGCTTTCTCAAGTTAACCAGCATGGTTTGCAATATTAACTTCATTGGCTTGACATACTTTAAAGGGACTGGGACACTACTATTACTGATGTTTTCATTAAGACCTGTTCAAACCTGGAGATACAATTTTCAGAAGTGAATGGCATTTGCCTACCTCTTCGTCCATTTAAATCACAGGTGAAACTCCCATTGGCTTTGATAGAAACAGGGGTAGGTCAACACCGAGTGCTTCTGACAATCCCACCCTAGGGATTTAGACGGAACATGAAAATCTCAGCAAATGTAGCTTTCACTTTTTTCCTGCCAAAACACAGAAATTGGCCCCAGTCATCACTACTGACATTTAAGTGTTGAATGGACACTTGAAAGGTGAACGTCCTTTTAAGAGGAGGCAGAGTTCTCTGATAGTGCAGAGGGACAGCAGGGTTCAGGTCCTGACTCCACCATTAGCTCCATGCCTGATCTGGAACAAGTCACAACCTCTGTGTCTGTGTCCACATCTGTGAAAATACTTGCTGACCTCACATGGGTGTTGTGAGATTTCATTGATTCTGACTTAAACACAGTGAACTCCTGTGGGAGGGAGAGAGCTATGTAACTGCAAAGTATTATTCTACCTAAATCTTTAACAATAAACTAAGTAGCACTGTATTGACTGTGATTTAGTCTTTCATATGCAAAATATACACATAATGAAACAGGAGAGAGAATGACTCAGCCAATGAGGTACGATTTATGTACCACTGGGTTCATCAGTTCAGAACGGATGGATGTTCTCTCCCTTCAGCTTGACTGGCAGGCAGCTGGTCAGCATGACTTTTTCTGGCACCCTTCACCTGCTACCGCAATAGCCTCACTCTAGCCTCTAGTGCTCAAGCTGTATCACAAAGCATGACTTTTGTTGTAATAAAAATTCAGAGCTGGTGTGAGGAAGAGCAAGGGCAAAAGTCGCATACATAATTCACAGAATTTAAAGAATATGAAAGCATGTTTATTTTTTTTTTTTGTGTGTATATATGTATCAAAACATGTTTAAAATACCCTTTAACCATAGCTCAGTGAATACTGGTCTGGACTGCCCATATTACCTGAAACTAGCCCTCCTCCCTGGTATCTACCTCTTTGTTTTAACCTTGTAAGTCATCATAGGATACATTTTCTATGAGAGATGCTCTTCAAGAGAAGTAATATTGTGAAGAATCTTTCTGATATATTGCTATGTATATATTACCCCCATCAGTACTCTCATCCCAACTTATGACCTTGATTAATCCGACTAGCTCACTCCTTTTCAGGCAAGGATGGTGGTGTTCAAAGACATCTTTGGGGAAGTTAATTGAATCATTAGCTGGGTTACCAGTTAAAAATGTGTTTATAGCTTTTTCTAGTAGAAGTTAGACTTGCTCTTGTGGTACCCCAAAGAAATACCAACACTGCCTCCTTGGCACAATGCTATGAATGAGCTTTGGGAACAGCAGTGATAGAGAAACTCCGCTATACCAGACAAATCAAAAACTGATAACTATCTGGTAGGTATTTTCCCTACAAGTGACACAGCCAAAAATCAAACTGCAAAAGATTGATCCATTTCTTTCTGTACTACTGTCTTGTATAAAATGCCCATAAACCTATTTAATCCAAAATCTGTATCCAAACTGTTTGCTTCAGTGTGAAAGAGTCCTGGACTAATAGCCAATTCATTTCAGATTACTTTTTGCACATCCTTCTTATTTGTTATAAGAGAAACAAATTAGAAGTGGGCCCCAATTTATAAGATTATGGTTCAGTGCATCACATTGAACTGGCCAAATGCAACATTCCCAACACACACAGTTTCAGGTATTGTTCAGACCTAGAGTCTGGTTCATGCCAATATTAAATTCAGGTAAATGGCACCCTCTTGTGGTGATTCCACTAGGTCAGATCTACATTTAATAAAGTCACAGTTCTCCCAATACATGTACCCAGTGCAGTTCTACCTACTGCACAGTGTTGAAGTTGTGCTTGGATTTTATCAAGTGTGGGCCCAAAAAACAAAACAAAAAAACCCTCAAACACACAATTCAGGACATGTATCTAACATACTGCTTGGAAAACAGTTACATCACCTCAGGTTGTGTATGACCAAGAGTCAAAATTAACTCTCAGCCAATATAGTTTTTGGGTGGGAAGGGCTAAGATTTTTAAATGAGTACCTAAAGTACCTAAGCATCTACATAGGCACCTATATATAAGTGGCCTGATTTCCAGAAGTGCTGAGCACCCACAAATTCCACTGAAGTCTTTGGTGCTCAGCACCTTTGAAAATCGGTCCTCTTTTATTTAAAACTATATTTAGGCACCTATATTTGAGGGTCTGAACAGCTCTCATTATTAAAACAAATTTTTCTTTTTAATTACAATCCAGCTCAACTCCTTTGTACGGTCTGAGGCCTTTTTTCTGCAGCCATATTAGGAGAGCAGCAGCCATTAGCCAGGAAGCAGAAAGTCACATCAGCCTCACATTCCTTCTAAATTATATCAAAGCAATGTAATATTGGGCTGTTATGAAGGTATGCCTCCTAATAGGATCCACCATCACCAAATAAGCAAGGAATCTCTTAAGATGGTTAAAGAAAACTTTGTTTGATGGCATTCTGTCTGGCAAGGAATCACTTATCAACAGTTTGGGTGTGAAATCTCTACTTCTTTATTGTTTTGCCTTTATCGTCCCTACCTCTCTCTTGTTTATCTGTATCGTCTCTGTCTGGTTCTTTGATTGTTTCTTTCTGTTGCATAACGAATTTTGTAAGATTTAACTCAACTAAGGTGGTGGGGTATGATTGGGTAAAGACTTGTTTTACAAGATGTTAGGACTGGTTAGAGAATTGTTTAGTAAAATTTTAGTAAAATGATTGGTTAAGGTACAGCTAAGCAGGACTCAAGTTTCACTATATAAACTGGGGTCCAAAAGGAAGTTCCTTGGAACCAACTGCAGGACACAGCCCCAAGATCAGAGCTGCCAGACCTCAACACCCAGCCAATCACACCGGGCAGAAGCTGGAGTCCCCAGATGACCTGATCCTGACTGGCCACCAGGAAAAGTTCATCTGCCTTATTGGGAGTGGTGAGCATTGTATGCTTAGCATGTGCATTCTGTGTTGTTGACTGTTAATAAATAGAGGTTAAGGATATTACTGTGTCAGGCTCTTTCACTAGTAAAAGACCCAGCAAACCTGCAGAAGATTACGCCCTGAGCCCTAGAAACTGGGTACGGGTAGGTACCTTTCCCCCGGAGCCCTAGGAACTGGGTAAAGGTAGGTGCCCGAGAGTGTGTAGGTAACACCCCCCACCCCCAATTTAAAATTAGCCTTCTTTGATTGTTTATAGTTTAGTTCCTGCTTACAGAAACTAAATCCTAACAGGTTTCTCACTTGCCTGAGGGGAGTAGGGATAATCCCTCCCCCACTGATTTATCTGTGTCACATTACTTCAGATTAAAGCAAACCAGACTTCTGTTTCCAGTTCAAACAGCTATCAAGAGGAAAAACATCAAACCCAGCTATGTAAATAATTCTGCAATAACCGTTGTAACTGACCAGTGCAGATTCTGCTACTGTAGCTCTCTGATGTCCTATTTGTTCCAAGCTGAAGGTCATGTAAATTCCCAGCTACATACTTAAAGAAGAACAAGATACCTCATTGGCTTAATTATACCACCCCCACAATGGCCAGCAATTCCCAGTACATCTAGTTTGTACCTAGACCTCAAACTAGTTACATTACCTTGTAGGGTTGCTGTGTCCATCAGCCTCACTCTTCAGAGAAGTGAGGTTCACAGTAAAGGATCGGTCTTGGCCAGATCTTTAAAAACATGCTTAGGTCGTTTGTAGCATCAGCAGCAGGAATGGGAGCCAGCAGCATCTGTCTATCATAACAGAAGGAGCAGGGAGGAGTCTGTCCCATTGCCGCAGACAAGGTGAGCGACAGGTCTGGAGAGCAGACAGCAGGCTACCCTCCCACCAGTATAGCAATGAGCAGCAACAGGAATGGTGAGACAAGCAGCAAGCTGTCACTCTCTGAAGGAAGAGTGGGAGGGAGCTCAGTGCCAAGGCATTTTCCTTTGAGTGCTTTCCCACTAAATTCCTCCTACCCACCAGCTTTCCATTTATTTCAGGAGATCAGGTCCACTCCTTTTCCTCTACAAGATTCCTGGGAAAGACAATCTGCCCCCCTCCCCCCCCTCATCTTCAGGCTATTATCTGAAGCCAGAGAAGCTAGTTTTCAGGTGCTACTGCCCCTGCTAATAATGGAGGAAATTACCTGAGCAGGGAATGGGGTTTATATCTGCAAAAGCAAAGAGGAGTGCACTTAGTTCATGGGTTCCCTGCTAGGTTACCTCTTTTTAGCCACACAAAGACTGGTCCCCTTACTCACCATTAACTATCCTTGTCTGGAAAATTTGATGGGCGACTACAGCTAGCCTTCTCTCTTATGGAATAGCAGCGCATAATGAACTTTTTCATTAGCGACTCATCCATATTTGTGTTTATAAATAATACAAACAGAAAACATTTATCTTTCAAAACATGAGTTCACCAAGACAGACCCAGCCTTAAGAACTAAGCATGATGTTGATGTTCTAAGTCAGTGTTTCTCAAACTTTTTACTATCATGCCCCCTTATACAAGCAAAGGAGCTCAGATCCCAATTGCGCCCTGCTACAGACTATATCACAGGGGCTATAAGGAGTCTCCGCAGCCCTCCAGCATGTGTGAGATCCCACCAAGATTAGAGGAATGAATGCAGGGAACCTGACAAGAAATTTTTCATTTTAAAAGAAGAATCTCAGGCCCATCAGTGCAGTCTGGCTGTATAATTTGAGAAAATCTATACTAAGCAATATATACATTACACAAAAGCGCCCTTGCCTCTATTAAAGGAATGTTGTGAGATTAAAAGATTTTTATTTGAAACCAAGTTACCAATATTAGACACCACCTTACACTGTTAAAACTGAAAGATGTAAGAATTTACTTTAATCTATTAATGTTTAGTTACTCTTTATACTTCCCTCAGTTTAGAAGTCAGAGCTTATAGCGCCACTCCTGGAACATATGCATTACTTTACACAACTAGTTCTATTGAGTTCATAGGACTACACGTATATTTGCTTGTTGGATCAGGGCCTGAATTAGCCAGGATATTTAAATATAGATCCATCTCTGTGCTTAGTCTGCACAAATTCAATCCTTGGTTTGGTCGCACTCAAGAGTTTTGTTGTTTTTGTTTTTAAAATGAACCCATGTTATATGTAGGGTTTGAAGGATTTGATTTTTATTCAAAAATGTTGGTAAATTTTGATTTCATTGTATATACATGTGCCAACCAAAGGAAAATATTTCCATTGATTGAAATTTACAGAAAAATGCTTCACAACTGCCTCATTATAAAGCAGCCTTGACTTGCAGGGAGCATCTCCAAGGGGAAGGAATCAGACCAGTCTCCATGATTTTCAGTGCTTGGCTTCTCCAAAACAGCCAAGCGTGGGGGTAGTTTTATTGTGTGGGAACCTGTTCACTAGAAACTGAACTGAGATCGCCAGATCACTTTACATACAAAGTCAGCAGCCAGCCGATAGCAAATAACTTTCAGACACCACTGACCTGGATTGAATTTGAACTAGCAACTTTGAAGCAATAAGTTCAGTTTACAAATGGCATAGGACAGGTTCAGTCCACCATGACCGTGAGGCTTTTTGCATTATTCACTGTGCCTACTCTAAACACATTTGAAGTTGGCATGTTTTCTTACAAAACTAGGCTCCCTCCAACACATGTACAAAATGATCGAGTGTTACAGCACTGTTCGTGAGCGGGAGACTGCTAGGACTTGAGTTTTTGATATACATTTTCATTTATGCCTCAAATATCAAACTTGGCCCAGCTTTCAAGGTATATCCTTGAGCCTGCCAGCTTCAACCTCGTCATTTTAGACATAAGAACGGCCATACTGGGTCAGACCAAAGGTCCATCTAGCCAAGTATCCTGTCTTCTGACAGTGGCCAATGCCAGCTGCCCCAGAAGGAATGAACAGAACAGATAATCATCAAGTGATCCATCCCCCGTTGCCCATTCCCAGCCTCAGGCAAACAGAGGCTAGGGACACCATCCCAAGAGAATTTGAAGCAGAAGCAAGAGTCCCCTTGGTAGGTTATAAAGAAATCATGATCCAGCCATAACTTAAAACCTATATATTTATGTGACCTCCAAGGAGAGCTCATACAATTTGAACTTAATGCTTTATACTTCTTTCAGTGAATTTGAGGCTTTGGAACAAAGTTCATTTTCCTCTCTCCTACTTTTTAATTTGATTTTTTTTAATTAAAATTTTATTAAAATAGACTAGAGATATTTTAACAGCTTTTGATTCTCAGTTCAAGTCCTCTGAACTACCTACTTTTTTTTTTTAAGACCATTGAAATCAAGGAATGAAAGTCCAGAATCACTAGTCACTTGAAAATCTTGGCTAAGAGTAACTGACAAAGTGGGGTGGTTATATAGGCAACTTGCTATATCTTCACTAACTCCCTCTGAATTGCACCTGAAGAGATGCCTTTTCCACAGATTGAGTAAAAGTTTTAAGTTGAAGATACCTTAATCTGAATCTTTGGGAATGGGAAGAAAACCCCTTAGTTGTCTATCGTCTAAGATGAACAGTCCCAGTTTTGTTAATCTCTCCTCATATGGAAGTTGTTGCATAATCATTTTTGTTGCTTTTCCAATTCTAATGTATCTTTGAGATAGGAAAACTAGAACTGCACGCAGTATTCAAGGTGTAGGTGTACCATGCATTTATATAGTGGCATTTATAATAATTGTTTTATTATCCACCCTTTCCTAATGGTTCCTAACACTGTTTGGTTTTTTTTATTCCCACTGCACATTGAGCAGATGTTGTGAGCAAAGAGGTTTTCTTGAGCTTTTCCCAGCACTGTGCATCAACTGTAATTGAGCAATTTACTTATTAGTGCCAAAGTTCAGCTAAAATGTTTACCATCCAGGAAAGGTGCAAGTCAGAGCATCACATTCTCTTGAGATTTGTGCTAACAGACGTTAGATTTCAGTTTTATAACCAAAGTAAGTGATTTAAATACAGAGTACCTGATCTCATTTTGTTGTTTATATTTCAAAATTCTTTTGGTTCATCTAATTTGGTGAACTTTGTTTGAATCTATAAACTATGTATGGAAGGATAAGTTTAACCTGTTTCCCATCACCTTTTAAAGTAA